TGAAGCATTTTTATTACGGTCTCGTTCATTTCACTTATTCGAGTTTAATTACAAAAAATTTTAAAAAATAATCACGTTTAATTTTTTTATTACAATAAAAAACTCTCACATTAAATCATATCTTAATTTAAATCAACCAACTAAACGGATAAAAAATTAATTATAAAACGATTCTGTTGTTTACTGGGGATCGATTGTGGAGAATAAAAGATGTGTAGGACCCACAATATATAGAGAATGAGATCTCTGAGTTAGACGGAATCTCATTCCTAAGAGTACTTCTCTTTTTGATCAATAAATATTTTTGAAAATGATCCTAAAGGAATCATACAAAAGCAATTCCGGATCTTTTTAGTAAATAAATTAGGATTAAATATATTTTCAACTTCCCAAACATTAGCCTCAATGCTTGGTGTATCCTTTCTGCTTTGAAATTCTTCAATACCAAGGAAACTTTTATGATGCAAGAAGAAGAATCTCCGGTAACATGTCATAAAAATGATAATTTACACATTTAAACAATATATTTATAAATTTTAAACGTTAAAGTTATAAAAGTTACGATAGATTTATGAACCGGCTCAGGTGTCATGAAGGAACCATAGAACATCACTCTTTAGTGCGAGTGCAGTGTGACCCTTTCGTGAAGAGAACATTAAAAATAGACGTCACGTGTTTGTTTGTATTAGCTACTAAAAACATACCTTTTAGCCTTACTTTTTTTGCATCATTAAGCCAAATATTAACCAAACTATAACACTAATAATAATAATAATAATTGACGGTGAAAATTCGTCAATAGAATTAATTCGAGTTTAAAGATGATTAACGTGATTTTAACAATTATAATATGTTTTGGAAAGATCAAAAAAGTAATTAAAAAAAACACCAAGATTTATAGTGGTTCACCTTTTTGTTCAAGAGCTACATATCTATTGTGAGAATGATTCACTATGTTCTGGAAGATAAAAAAATTAGAGAGAGAGAGTCCCTGGGTTGCCATTTTTACATGTATATATTTGTTCTATCTCCCCTCAACCTATGTCATTTCCATCATTACATCCTATCACATTATCTCCATATTTTTGGATAAAATCCCCGGTGGGTGGGATTTCTGCCAGTCAACAATAGTTTTTCACCTACTCCCCTACCAACTTTGCTTGCTTGCAGGTCACGAAAGATATCCAACATACTCAGTCTTTTTCTCGAGCTGCATGTGTTCGACTCCTTAGGCGCTCTTCGAGCCATCTTCGCTTACCTCTGCCTAGAGTGGTTGACCTCCTACTTATCTCGACTCCTCAATACGGTAAACCTCTTATGGGAGTGTTATTCTCAATTTGCGGTCGGCCTGTACAGAATTTCATTTTACAGGATACTTAAAGTTGAGCTATCATACTCATTTAATGCCTTCAGTTGTGTCACGTTGCGCTCATCTAGCATGATGTAAGGTTTGAGATTTTACTCTGCGATAATAATAATCATAATGTAGAATAAATGAGATAGCTCATATTTGGAGCAAGAGAAATATCCTTTTCAAACATTAATATATTTAGTCCTTAATGTTCTTTTAAGTAAACGATCAAGAAAATAAAACTGCGTCCTTAATGTTACCAAAAGAGTTAGATCATAACACTTGCAGTAAAAAGACCATAAGTTGCAACATCTGTACGACTTAAAACCAGTCCTTTTGTCATTATGTGTCTTCCTTCTTCTTTTGGCCTATATTATCCTCTCATCTTGACATTTCCTTTTAGGATTTTAGAAGAGTTTTAAGATGAATGCCATTTTAAAGTGCTAAATCGGAGGGTGGGGTAGAATGGTGCCAAAAGCCACCCATTCCACTGAGTACTACTAATAAAGTTTTTTTAAATAGTTAATGCCAAAATAAGCATTCAATAATTCTTTTTTAATGAATTCTTAATGAAAGGGCTAATTGGTATACAGACATAATTAAGGCTTTCGTAAGCAGAAGGGTCACAATGACACTCGGGCCATAATTTAGTGGCCACAAATTCAATTTCATTCCAATTTATGGTTTTGGTATGTTCTTCAATGAAAGTGGGTGCCATTCTCATTTCGATTTTCATTCAACTTTTTTATTTAAAAAAAAAAAAAAAAAAAAAAAAAAAAAAAAAAAAACCTTAATTTTCAATCCACTTTAGAGAACACATTAATTGAACATGATTTACTTTCTTTATTGTTGGGAATTTTTCTTATGGTTGATGACAAAATAGTAGGTGCCACGCCGTATTGGATCATTATTATATAAATTTATAACTAGTTTATAAGTAGTTTTGTAACTTTATTACACAAAATTTTTAAAATGACCACAAAATGGAGCATTGAATAAATGTCCTGTTGTTCCCTAAAAATAAGTTTTTTTTTTTTTCTTTTAATGAAAACTAACTTGTTAAGGTAATGGACAATATTCATGGTTCTCATGGGCAAATATTTGATTAATTACCTTGACGAGATCGGAAAGAAACTAGAAGAATGTAATGGGCAATATTCATGGTCTTGAAGGCTTAGAAATAGAATATTTGGTTTTTGGTATCAAATTGCTAGAACATGATGGTTATTGAGTAATAAAACACCAATTAAAGGATTATTCTCCACTGCAAGACAATGAAATTAGGACGAATACAAATTAGGAAAGTTGGGAGTTTATTTAGACCTAAAAATTGAGAATTATCGCATCGGAGCCACGGGCTCCAAATAGTGGCAGAGTCAGAAATTTTGTTCAGTAGGGACGTGATTAAACAAAAATTTTAAACTAAAATTTTGATGTAATAATTTTTTACCTTTATTTATCTATTTTCTTATTTTTATGCTAAATGAATTAAGCTTCTAATAAAGTTATTTTTTCTTTGGAATTAATAGAGTAAAATTTAATATTTAAAAGTCTAAAAACTCGTCCTTTTCAAGGCTGTGATGCCTGGAATTCATCCAAACTCCTCCTTTTCAGCTCCACGACCTTCTTTAACCTCCAAAATACCTACAAAACACAAAACAAATAATGACACAAAATACTCAAGGAACCTAGCAAGAAACATGGGAAAGACAATTGGAAAATATGTAAATTTAACACTTATCATCTACTGATAATGATAGTTTTGATTGTTAATTCTTGTCAAAATAATATCAAATTAAAAATTATGTGAAACAAATTGTTTCTAATGTAGATCTGATGACTAAAAATATAACTTTTTCGATAATTTATTTTATCAGTACCTAGAAGAGAAATCTCATTTTCTTTAATTTGCAAGGAATTTCTAACATAGGAACTAGTGTTGTATGTTTAGATAGAGCTAAATGGGTCAACCCAGAGCCCCTCATTATTGGCCCAGTCCTGACCCGACCTAAAACTCTCAGGCCGGGCTAGACCCAAAACTATTTTTGACCCTACCCAAAGTGCTCTTATTATATATTTTTAAAAGATTTTGCTTGTAAAAGCAAGGTCGGCCTGGTTCTGTCCTGGCCTGACCCTAGTCTGTTCTGACTTTTGGGAATGGCTTTAGAGCCGTGTCGGCTCAACATGAATATCTCTTTCAAACCGCAGGGCTCTGGCCGGTCTTGGTGGCCAAAACTTTCACCTCTAGTAAGAACTGTCTTTTTAATTACTAGTAGAAACTGCAGTTTTAATCATTAGACATACAATATGATTCATAATTGAAAGTAGTTATGTGTCACCTACTGTAAATTTTTACCGTAGATTTGTTGATCAGACTGTTAAAAAATTAATCTAATAACTAAAATATTAATCCAACAAATACTAAAAAATAATAGTTCCTATCTTGGAAGAGAAGTTCTTGACTTCTTGTAATTTGCGTTATAGGCAAGAAGAAAAAGGGAAAAAAAAATAGAAAACATAGAAAAAAAAAAAAAAAAAAAAAAAAAAAAAAAAAAAAAAAGGGGTTTTTTATTTTTTTTATTTTGCTTTAAAGGAAAAAAAAAAAAGGAAAAAAAAAAAAAAAAAAAAAAAAAAAAAAAAAAAAAAAAAAAAAAAGGAAAGACGGGCCTTGAGATGCCATGTTCAGTAATCGAACAAGTCAGAAAAAGATGGTTTGAAAGAAGGAAATTGAGGGTAAGATGATGCTGTTTCTTTTTAAGCAAGACGAAGAGAGAGAAGATAAAAGTTGTGAGGGGGTCGCTTTCAAAAGAGATGGCCATGCATGTAAAGGAACTAAAAGAAATTATTATTATTATATATTTTTTATAATTAAAAGAAATTATTTATAAAGGAGAGAAAAAAAAAAATCCCTTGAGGGTTGAACTCTATTATTGAACCAACGGTTCTAAACTTCCAACTTCTAATCTAACTACAAAAAAAGTACAAAGTTAAAACATGAAACAAAACCGAATGAAAGCGAGATGAGAAGGAAGGGTGAAAACGGAAAGAGGGTAGGACCTCTTTTTTTTTTTCTTGAAAAAAGGGAGAAGAAGATAAAATAGTAAAATTAGTCAATTGAGTAAAACAAAAGAAAGAAAAAGAGTTTTTAGGTTTTTGGATTTTATGTTAGTATAGTTAATTTTTAACTGTTAAATAATTAACGGTTAAAAATATAAATTAAATTTCATTTATTTTTTTTTTATATTTAATTTTTTTATTATAGTTAAATTTTTTTAAAATAATATATTTTAATTTAAATTTGTGAAGTAATTTATTTTTTCAATGTTTATCAAAAAAATCTCACATTTTTTTAGTTTTTCTTTAATATTGTGGAGTGTGTAGTGTGTAAAAAGATAGTACAAGAAGGAAGCAGGAGATGCAGTGATGAGGTCACAGAGATCTTTAATCCCCTTTCTGACCAAACACTGCCATCCTTACCACTGGCATCATCAAGGCCTCTTATAGGCCGAGAAAGTATTTCTCTTCCCTATAAACCCCCATATAATTTACTCTTCTGCCACCTTCACAAACACAAAAAAATAAAAAATAAAAAATAATAATAATAATAATCTCTTTCTTGGTGGGAAATTGGGAATATATATATAGCAGTGACCAAAACCAAAAGAAAAGAACTTTGCAGGAAAAGTTCCCAAGAAAACCCCTCTTCAAAATTGTGGGTTTTTCTGCTTTTGCTTTGGTCAAGTGGGCATTAGTGATTTTAAATCAGTTCAGTCTTCCTCTGCTTGTTACAATTATGAAGTGAGCAATATATATCACCTAGAGAGAGAGAGAGAGAGAGAGAGAGGCATCATCAAAAGGAGGCGTGAGAAAACATAGAGAAGAGAGAGAGAGAGAGAGAGAGAGAGAGAGAGAGAGAGAGAGATATGGGTTAGGCTAGTGGTGGTTCACTTGAGCCTTTGGGACTTTGTTAGGAAAGTTTTTGGAGTTTTGATGAATGAATGGTAATGGAAGTGGGGAAATTGAATGGCAGGGCCTTTTGGTGGGAGAGGCAGAAGAACAACAAGAAGAAGCAACATCAACAAGTTTCAGAGACGTGGCAGCAAAAAGAGGAAGAGATTAGAGAGAGTGAAAAATCATCATCATCATCACCATCTTCAAAACAAGCAAAAACAACAACAACAACCCACTAGTAGAAAGTGTGCTCCATTAAAAGCTAGAACTGGAGGAAGAAGAAGAACAACAACAATATCAGAAGAGTCTTCTGAGTCTGGATCCTCAAAAGAATCCTCCTCCTCCTCATCATCATCAATTTTATCATCAATACAATCCCCACCAACCCCAAACCCAAAACCCATTTCCAATTTCAACTCCTCATGTAGAACAACACCAAGCACTTGCTTTTCACCACCTCTCTTGTCATCAAACCTTTCATCAAACCCAACAACAACAACAGCTTTCTTTTTGTGTTGGCTTGGAAACCCATTTCCAACAACAATTACAAGAACAAGATCAACAAATCCGAGAAGCTCCAAAGAAGCAGCAGCGAACCGAACATGCGAGGAAAATGGGGGACACTACCACCATAACCACAGCAGCAGCATCCTCGTCCAGACTGGGGATACGGAGTATTACCGGCAACCACCACAGCGGCAGCAGCAACAACAATGTTGTAATCGGGGGCGGGGAGATAGTGGAAGTACAAGGCGGCCACATTGTGCGGTCGACCGGGAGGAAGGACCGCCACAGCAAGGTCTGCACGGCAAAGGGGCCGAGGGACAGACGCGTCCGCCTTGCGGCCCACACCGCCATCCAGTTCTACGACGTCCAAGACCGACTGGGTTACGACCGGCCCAGCAAAGCCGTCGACTGGCTCATCAAAAAGGCCAAGGCCGCTATCGACGAGCTCGACGAGCTCCCCACCTGGAACCCCATTTCCTCCGCAGCCGCCGCCGCCGCCGCCGCACAATCAGCCGCTGCCGCTACAACCGTCTCCGCTAGTCTCGCGGGGGACGGTGGGCTGAATCTGCAGAATCAGATGATGGAGAAGCAACACCAGCAGAACGACAATAGCAACAACAACAATAATGGTAATACTAGTTCTGGGTTTTTGCCTCCATCTTTGGATTCCGACGCCATAGCCGATACAATCAAGTCGTTCTTTCCGATTGCTTCGGAGGAACAGCAGCATCATAATCATAATCAGGATCATCACTCTCATCATCCTCGGGTTTCGTCGTCGTCGTCGATTCAGTTTTACGCGCCGGATTTGCTGTCGAGGACGAGCACTGGCCAGAACCAAGATCTGCAGCTCTCGCTTCAGTCCTTTCAGGACCCAATTCTTCTTAACCACCACCAACAACAAGCTCAAGCTCAACAAGCCCACCACAATGAACAAGGCTTTTTCTCCGGGTTCGGATGGTCCGACCACCACCACCATCAGAACCCGGCCGAGACCAGCCGATTCCAGAGAATCATGTTCAACAACAATGGCGGAAACAACGGCGGCGGTGGAGGTGGTGGTGGTGGCGGTGGTGGTGATGGTGGGTTTGTGTTTAATTCGCCGCCGTTGTTTAGCCGCGGCGGAGAAAACAATAACAATCACCACCACCACAACAACAATCAGTTCTTTTCTTTTCAGAGGGGACCCCTTCAGTCCAGTAACACGCCCTCGGTTCGCGCATGGATCGATCACACTTCGTCGTCTTCTTCGTCATCGCCGCTGATGGTGATGTCGTCGATTGCCGATCACCAGATTCCGCATTCTCTGTCCGGCATGGGATTCATCCCTAGTGTTGGAGGAGGATTTTCCTCCGGATTCCACCACAACATTCCGGCGCGGATCCAGGGCGAGGAGGAGCACGACGGCATCTCCGACAAGCCGTCCTCTGCTTCCTCCGATTCTCGCCATTGACCCATCTCCAAAAGAGACACCGGAATTTTCTTAAAGGTTGTGTTCAACTTTCAGTTCTGAATTATGCTCATTTTCGGAAACAAAAGCTTTGGTCTACGTGTTTCAACCAAATTTTCAGTGCAGGACTAGTTCAACTTCACTAAAAGACTCCAGAAAGAGAGAAAGAGATAGAAGATTTCGGTCATTTCTTAGTTCAATGGCAGATTTCAATGCCGAGGGGAGAAGAAAATCTGAGTGCATACTTCAGGTTTTTGCGATTCCTTTGGTTTGTTTGTTCTTTTACCACTTTTAGTTTGGGTTTTAGTTTTGTTCTGTTTCTCGTTATCTAAGTTGGGCTTGTGGAGCTCAAACTTTTGTTTGATTATTAGTAGTTATTACTTTGGATTTGCTATTATTGTGGTTTCTGTTGTGGACTATAATGCTATTTGCGTTTACCATTTCCATTTGTTGAATGGAACTTTTTTGGTGCTTTTATTATATATATTTTTGTGTTTTTCAAAGGTTTCGGATCACCGGAAATGGGAAGATTGTGAGAGTTTGTTTGTTGTATCTGGATCACGTACTTATGTTGGTTTATGGTTTGAGTATCTGATTTTGAGCTACTTTTTCATTTTGAAAACGAGGGAAGGCCTATAGAGCAGGGCCATTTTCCTCTGATTTAGAAATGGTCCATTGCTTGTGTAGATGAAAGAGAGTTTTTTTTTTTTTTTTCCATTCTTTTTTTCTGTTTTGTGATTGTTTGTTTTGTTACTTTTATTGCTTTTCAAAGGAACAGTTTATATAAAATTAAACCTACAAAAAAAAAAAGATAATAAAAAGAATTGATATGATCATTGTTTGTTTACATCTCAATCGTTGCTATGATTTTGGGAGCATCAAAACTACTAGTCATTTTCCATTGCACAGTGGTATGTTTGTTGTGGGAGTGGAGTACCAATAATACAATACTGATTCCACTATTCCCATGAGATCTTTTGTTTTCAAGCTGCAAAATTAGGCTACTTCTTGAGTTCAGAGTTGAATTCTTTTGAAAATTATTCATTTCCCTTTGTTCTATTTTATCCTCTTTTACTATGAAGTGACCAGAATGTCTGTACAAGCTAAGGAATGTGCAAAAAAAGCTCTAATACCAAAAGAAAAGAAAGGGGGGCACAAATTTTTTTTTTTTTTTTCTCAATTTTTTTAAACACACCCACTTACCCAATTAGTGCAAATTGAAGCAACCTAACAAAAACCCTTTTCTTGAATCATCATCAAAAGAAAAACCCATTTTTTGTTTTGCCAATTTACACCTTTGAAGCCTTTTCACTTTCTTCTTAAGACAACATCAAAAGGTTACCATTTAAAGAGGAGAAAAAAAATGTGACGAAATTTACATTTTTTTTTCTTCTTAAGATAAGCTTTTTAACATAATTTAAGTCAGGTCTGGCATTGGAGGAATCTGGGGTCATGATCTATGATGATATTCACTAGTTTGAGTACGATAGATAGATTTAGCTGGCACAGTACCAAGTGGGGCTCAGTGGAGTACATATGCAGGAAGCAAAGAAAGAAGCATGAAAGGGAAATGGGACGAGCATAATAAGCTCAATAATGGAAGAATACAGAAGATGGGATACCTCCAAAATGTTTCTTGGCCATCTGTCTATGGTCCCCTACACCCTCCTGTGAAATCTCAGTGCGTAATAAAAATCTCTTCCGGGGTCTAGCTGCAAAAATAAATAGAATGGGAAAAAATAAATTATCCGTAATTTTTTATTTTTCAACGACAAGTCTATTTATAAAAAAGCTCTTTATTTTATTTTTTTTTATTTTTTTTTATTTTTTTGGGTTATTCTACGTTAGGATCAGACCTCCTATCAGTAATGCATATATAGGCCTCTTCTTTTTGCTGATTCGAGTTTAGAATTCGAGTTTTATTACAGTAAAAAGCTCTCAGAAATGGTCACATCTAATTTTTTTGCTACAGTAAAAAATTCTCACACAACATCACATCTCAACTCGAATTAACGAACCGAACGGACCCATCGTAACAAGCAGTTTATCACATAAGATGTTCATTATCGATTCGAGTTACAGTAAAAAACTTTCAGAAATAGTTACATTTAATTTTTTTACTACAATAAAAAAATTTCACATAAAGTTACATCTCAACTCTAATCAACGAACTAAACAGTTTTAAATTTCACGGCCAAAAATCAAAGATCTATTAATAATTTATTTTTTCACATTTTAATATAAATTTTATTTATTTTATCGATTTGAATTTAAAATTTAAATTTTATTACAGTAAAATTTTTTTATAAACAATCACATTTAATTTTTTTATTATAATAAAAAATGTTCACATAAAATTACATCTCAATTCAAATAAAAATTTAAATTAACAAACTAAATGTGCAGATATAGATAGAAATCTCATTCTTTCTTTTATGCTATGTTTGGTAAGAAGGAAAGAAAATAGGATAGAAAGGAAATATGGAAGTGATGAAAAATAACAATGATGGAAAGAAAATTGATTTTCTTTTATGTTGTTTGGTATGAGAAGATAAAAAGAAAATGAGCTTACCTTCACTTGTTTGGTATTGGAAGTTAAATTGAGAAAAAAAAATCTTACTCATAAATTACTTTTATACCCTTAAATTTTTTGCTTGGATGTTGACGGAGAAAATGGTAGTTTAGTAACTTTTTTCACTTTAATGAGTAGTCTCCATTTTTCATCTCATTTTCTGCCCATTTGTGGAAAGAAAAAAAATAGTGGAGCCCATATGTATTATTTTTTACTCCATTTTCTCTTTCTTTCTCTTTTCTCTCCTACCAAACAACCTATATTTTTATTTTTCCTTCTAAAATCCCTTCACCTTCTTCCTTCTTTCTACTTTTCTTTCCTACCAAACATACTCTTAAGAAAAAAAAAAAAAGAACAAAGAAAAAAGAGGGAAAAAAAAATACCTTTAGCTTCTACTGAGATGGTGACATTGCATATTATTTTGTCGGTATTTGTATGGTAGAGTGACAGCGTACTATTCAAAAGGCGCCATGGGGGGGCTTTTATGGCACTGCAGAAGAATTTATGTCAAAAAAAAAAAAAAAAGGAATATTATGTGTAAATGGTCAAAATAGATCTTGATCCTTGAAATGTGGCGTTCTCATTTGATACACAGAACTCGAATTTTTGCGATCAAGTAGATGTTTTCGAGCAAAGAAACAAAAGTAGATGTTTGAAATTTTAAAGTTTATTTAGTTCGTTAATTTGAATTGAAATGTAATTTTATATAATAATTTTTTATTATAATAAAAAAATTAAATATAATTATTTTTAAAATTTTTTATTATAATAAAATTTAAATCGGTGAAATAAATTAATTTTAATTGCATAATATATAATTAGAAAATCGCTGGTCGTACCATAGTTATGTTAGAAAAGCAAAGGGATCTTTTGTATGGTTCTCTGCTGTTATTCTTGCGTGGAATCGGAAATTTTCATGTGCACTAGAGGTTTTAGTTTAATAAAATTCAGAAATGGATTTTTTGATGGTAAATAGATAGACCCTGGAAAGAGGATTTATTGTAGTTTTTTTTTTAATCTTTATTGTAGAGTAAGTTATTTTATTTCACCAGTGAAGCATGTGTTTTTACTGTTAGAATAAACTTTTAACAGCAGATATGTTGGCACTGCAGAAAATTTTATTTAAAAAAAAAAAAAAAAGGAATATTATGTGTAAATGGTCAAAATAGATCTTGATCCTTGAAATGTGGCGTTCTCATTTGATACACAGAACTCGAATTTTTGCGATCAAGTAGATGTTTTCGAGCAAAGAAACAAAAGTAGATGTTTGAAATTTTAAAGTTTATTTAGTTCGTTAATTTGAATTGAAATGTAATTTTATATAATAATTTTTTATTATAATAAAAAAATTAAATATAATTATTTTTAAAATTTTTTATTATAATAAAATTTAAATCGGTGAAATAAATTAATTTTAATTGCATAATATATAATTAGAAAATCGCTGGTCGTACCATAGTTATGTTAGAAAAGCAAAGGGATCTTTTGTATGGTTCTCTGCTGTTATTCTTGCGTGGAATCGGAAATTTTCATGTGCACTAGAGGTTTTAGTTTAATAAAATTCAGAAATGGATTTTTTGATGGTAAATAGATAGACCCTGGAAAGAGGATTTATTGTAGTTTTTTTTTTAATCTTTATTGTAGAGTAAGTTATTTTATTTCACCAGTGAAGCATGTGTTTTTACTGTTAGAATAAACTTTTAACAGCAGATATGTAGTATGAATAATTCTGTATGGAACGCTATAAATTTTTAATACAGACTTACACAGATACTTGAAAGTACTTGTCCTATTGGTGGAGCAAGTAAAGAATTTCTTTTTTTTTGTTGCTAAATGATGAAATATATATAGCTATAGCCCATGTTTGGTTCTTTGGTTTGAATTTGTTTATTTGAACTTTTTTGTTTGCACAAAAAACTTTGAAGTGTGTAGTTTAAATTTTAATTCAAGTTGATTTTTAGATTAACAGTTAAAATTTTAATCTGAAAAGTGAAGAAAAGTCGAATGTGTTTGGTAGGTGTAAAAAGAAAAGTGACCGAACACCTTTTTATTGTTTAAAAATAGTTTGAACGGTTGAACTTAAAGGAGAGTTAAACTCTAATGTCTTGTTCAGTGCACTAATTTGAGTTTTTAATTTAAGTTGAGATATGATTTTTGTGAGAGCTTTTAACTGTAGCAGAAAAAGTTAGATGTGATTATAAGAGCTTTTAACTGTAGTAAAATTAGAGTTTAAAACTCAAATGGGTTAAATAAATGAGGCTTTAGTTACACAGTTTAAATCAATTCAAACGGAGAATATAATTTGAACTGCATACTTACTAAATATGAATTTAAATTGAGCGTACTGTTTAAATTAAGTTGAACTGAATTAAATCAGTGAAACAAACAGAGACTGGCCCCGTTCATTTCGCTGATTCGAGTTTAGAATTCGAGTTTTGCTACAGTAAAAAGCTCTCACAAATAATTACATCTAACTTTTTTGCTACAGTAAAAAGCTCTCACATAAAATTACATCTCAACTCGAATTAAAAACTCGAATCAACGAACTAAACGGGCCCTTTGTTTTGAACCCAACCAAGGAGAATGAATGATTGTTGGACGAATAGTAAATACATATTGGGCAATTTTTTTTTAATGGAAAAATACATATTGGGCAAATGAATTGGACTGTATTTCTGTTGGATATTCTAAACAACATAACATCAAAGCTGAATCTGATCTCTCTTCGCATGGAAGTTACATAAATTCTTATGTGAGAATCAAAAGATCATTTGAGAGGACCATTTTTTCTTCTATTTCTGTACTTTCCTTTTTAAGAGAACATCCAAGGTAGGAGGGGATTTTTTATTTAAAGAAGACAAAAAGAAAACACCCACCACACCCAAGTCAAGGGTAGGGTAAAAAGCCACTCAAATTTTTACCCCCCTAAAGTCACTGTGGACAGAATTTAAGGAAGATGAATAATAAAAGTGTTCTTTTTCTTTTTTTTTTTTTTTTTTGATAATTGGACAAGATGAATAATAAAAGTCGGTACACAAATACAACACACATTTATGGTGTGCAGAATTTTTTTCACTCTCTTCATCACACGCTCAAGCCAGGCGAAAAAACAAGAGACACACAATATTAATGTAAAGAAAAGAACCCCACTAAAATTAAATACCCCATTTTGCCGTTCCACAAAGGAATCTTGTCTAACTTTGCATAGGATGAGTTGAGCAAGTTTTTGGGATTTTGCAGTTACCGTTTGACAAAATGGGGTCCTCAGAAACTGGAATTTTGTTCTCTGCCTCGTTGAGAACTTTATCAAGTTTGCTCAACAGCTTGGTCTGGGATTTCTTTGAGGTTGTAGGATAAGAAACCACTCGGATTTCCCACGGTCTGGCGGCTACCCAGCGCTCGACCCAGCTCCAGCCCCAGTTTTCCTTTCCAATACTGAAAGAAGCCTGCCCCAGATACTGGCTTGAGTTTGCCCTCCACTGCAAAATACAAGTATTCAAAGACAATTCTATGCACACGTTAAGTACCGTTCATTTTACCGATTCGAGTTTTATTATAGTAAAAAATTTTCAGAAACAGTCACATCTAACTTGTTTGTTACAATAAAAAGCTCTAACATAAAGTCGCATCTCAACTCGAATCAGCGAATTAAACGGACCCTTAAAGGTGCGACGTGACATTTATTATAACAATGATGCTGGAGAGTTGTAGTACTAATATATGACAACTAATTATCTTTTTATTATATTTAGGTCTCGTTCATTTCACCGATTCGAGTTTTGTTACAGTAAAAAACTCTCAGAAACAGTCACATCTAACATTTTTGCTATAGTAAAAAACTCTTACATAAAATAATATCTCAATTCGAATTAAAAATACGAATCAACGAACTAAACGAGCCCTTAGTTTATGTCATTGTTATACATAATAAGGCCCCGTTCATTTTACCGATTCGAGTTTAGAATTCGAGTTTTATTACAGTAAAAAACTTTCAGAAACAGTCACATCTAACTTTTTTACTACAGTAAAAAACTCTCACATAAAGTCACATCTAAATTCGAATTAAAAACTCAAATCAACAAAATAAACGGGTCCTAAATGTCATGTTAAAGTTATCACAGGAAAATTATTATCGAAAACTTGTGCGCGCGCGCGCGTGCAGGGGGTGGGGGATTGGGATTTTTTAGGAAAACCTGATGAAGGTATGCGTATGCCATGGCTCGCTCACGCTTGATTGATGCTTCTTCTCTCTGTTGTATTCTGCTAATGATTTCCTCCATGGTCTCAGACCCACCGCACCACTCTACCTGTTGGTTTGATTATATTTGTATGTTAAAGTGAATAATGTTACTTTTCAGTGTGACAAAAAGAGTAGCCCATACATATTGTATATGACATCTAACTAAAATAATGTGTGAGTCTTAACTGTTTGTTACATCATATCATACAATACTTTGCTATGAAAAAATAATGCCTCAGTTCACATTATAACGTGTAACACAATTGCGTCTTGTCCTTCAAAAAGAAAAAACAAAAATTGTGTCTTGTAAGTTTTTTTTTTTAAGAAAATAGTATGAAAAGAATCCATTTAGCATTTGGTGTTGAAGCGAATTGGCAATGCTAGATTTTCTTTTAGCAGGGACATAATAGGCTCAATAAATAAAATAATGTGTTTGTTTTAAGTGTTTGACACAATCATAAAGTACTCATCGTTTTAAAGGCATATCCTTTAGCATTTTTCTAATTTAGCACAATACAATGAATATATTTACTGTTGATATAATGCAAGAAAACTTGTTTTGTAGAGTATAAGAAAGAAATTCTAAAATGCCAAACATCCAAAGGCTAGTTTACCAGTTCAATGTCTCACGGTATTTCTTCATAGACCGCGATATGTGTTTGTCCACATGGAATCCAAAAAATGTGTCATGAGTACTCTTTCTGGCATTTTTCCTAAAACAAATTTTTTCCTTTTTACCAATTGATGAGACAGTTTCAATTTCTTGTCGTTCAAGTAGCATAAGTTACCAGCCTTATCCAAGAAGAATCTACTGTGAGAGAAAGAGAGAGAGAGAGAATCCAATCTATGTGAAGGCAAGAAATATCCAATAGGAATCTTAGATCCTTGTTATATTCTGGATAACCAGAGTCTTTAAACATTGAGAGAGATTCATCTAAGGAAGGACATCAGAATCCTAGAAAAGATATCAAGAACTTCTCTGTCTTATCAAGAATGTGATGCCTTCTCTGCCTATAACCGGGAAACAAATTGAGGGTGAGAAACAATCTCAACAAGTCTAGCTAATTCTTGATTGTTACTTTTGATTTTTGAAGAACACTACTTTTGCATGTGGTATATAGAGAAGCCAACTTTTTAGTAAATATTAGCAAAGAAGTTGTTACTTGGTTTAATATAAAACTAATGTTCGTGAGGAATTGGTAAGACTAACATGGTATCAGACACTAGTTACTCGTAAAATAATTGAAGAGGTTGTCACGATTAGTACCTCAAGCTCATGAAGTTTTGCCTCGAGTTTCAACTGATTCTCCACCTTCTTTTGCCTGATCCGGGCTTCTTTGACCATACAAAGTCTCCGCGCTCTAATTTGGTCCTGTATTATGCTCCATGAATGTATGTGGCGTAGTGCAGATATTGCTTGATCCTTAACCGTGTGATCTTGAACCAATTCCTGAAATCGGACGAAGCCCTTTACTCCATCTACTGTTGATGCGGCTGTCGTTGCCGTCGCTTGCACATTACTGGTCTGATCTTGATCCAAATCTGGCGGTTCCACCGTGCCCTTTAGACTGTGAAACGCTTTTCTTGCCTGCAAGAAACCATTGTGTATAATGACACAGTTTTGCTTACATATATAACCATATTAAGCTGAAACAAAGAAGACCCTTTTTTTGCCAAAATTTATGGTATGGACTAGAGACATAGAAAATCATATTGGGACTTCTCAAATTTAAAACTTCCAACGAGACAACAAAGGAAAAAAGAAAAATAATACAAACATCAGTCGGGAAATAATCAACTTATAGTTGAATAATTTTTTGTATGAAACTAATAAGATCCAAGTGCATATACCAAGAATGAACGAAATGCGGCTTGAATCCGAGTGACGGCTGTGATTTGTTCATGAAATGGAGTTGCATTCTTGCCGCTTGAATCCCCATTTGAAGGGCTACACAGATCTTTGTTACTCCCATTTGATTCCTCAGTAGCCAACTGTTCCTGTCTCAAAGAAATTTATCACAGAGGATTCTGCAGCTAATATTTGAGAGAATACTGATATTGATAAGCTAATTAAACCATCATTTCTCTTCTTTGTTCTTTTACTCAAAATACTTATGTTTCCTTTCACATGGAACCATGTAACATGTCAAAAACTTGCAACTAAAATTTGGTATGCTTTTAAAAATGAATTAAATGAATTATCTACTATACATGTATATAAATGTTGTGGATTATATTTTGTTTTAAGTTCTTTTAATATAGCTCAAGTTTTTTCTTTCTCTTTATCTTTATGATTTATTTACTTAGCAAAAAGAAAAGGTCTAGCATATGAATGACCGTAGGACTACAAGACGCAATGGAAAATGGAAGGAAAACTTGAAGAACAGACACAAAAACAGAACTCAAAAAAAATATGGTTAAGAAAGTTTACTTACCTGTACTTGCTTGGATTTGTCTTCCTTTGCTTTCCTCCTTTTAACTATTGCCCTTAAGCAGCCCATTTCTATTGATCAAGCTGTTGAAGAACAAAATAGACGCCCAACATGAACTTGCCAGTACTACAAATAAAGATCCACACATGCCCACTTATAAGAAACATTATATATACATATATATATATATATATATATCCATATGATCCTGAGATTTCCTTTTCTTTTCTTTTTGGCAATGAGGCAAGCCAATTATACATAATGAACAAAATCAAATTTAGAAACATCATGATCTATAGCACATAAATTTCTCAAAGAAGTGGTTGCAAGTACAGACTCTGTAAACCACAAGTAACTCTACTGTAAAGCGTAGAGTTTAAATCTCCTGTCAAAATTAATTTATAAATATACTATGTACATATATATTTATATTCATTGTCAAACAGTACTAACCACTATATATGAATAAAATTGAAAGCGAAGTAAAGAAATGGCAAAAATGATTAGAAACATCATCTCAATTTCTCAATCATAACTGCAAAATTTGGACACAAAACTCTCTTTCTTAGCACACACAAATATCTCAATTCCAATTGTACTACTACACCACAACATGATGCCATATATTCATGTATAGTTTTTAAGTAGTACATACAAATATCTCAATTCCAATTGTACTACTACACCACAACATGATGCCATACATTCATATATGGATGAAAAATCCATGATAGATATACATGTTTTCAAAATCTAGAAGATTAATTGTGCTTTATTCTATGTTTTGTATTAGCAAAAGTGCAATGGATTTATGATTGAAATGAGATTTCAGTCAAAAATAAAAAGAGTAAATCTCCTAATTAATAACACCCAGAAAAAAGTAACAAAATTTGGAGATCAGAACACAAACCACAAAGAAGAAGCAACCCGAGTGAACTGAAAAACTTTTATCTGAGCTTTCCAAGATTTCTATGTTTTGTATTAGCAAAAGTGCAATGGATTTATGATTGAAATGAGATTTCAGTCAAAAATAAAAAGAGTAAATCTCCTAATTAATTCAGAATTGTCGAAAACGAACATGTATCGGTGCATAGAACTTGAATTAAAATAAAACCCAGAAAAAGTAACAAAATTAGGAGATCAGAACACAAACCACAAAGAAGAAGCAACCCGAGTGAACTGAAAAAACTTCTATCTGAGCTTTCCAAGATTTAAGAGTTACACTAGGACAAATATGAAGATTTCTAGTAACATTTACATATATATATATATATATATATATATATATCAGACCATATTGGTAATGCGGAGGTTTCTAATAGAGATGGTTGGTTTTGTTATGCATGGTGAGGTTTTAACTTGTGATAATTATAGAATTAGGTGAAGTAAAACAGAAGCAAAGACCAAAGAGACAGAACAGAGAGTTTGCATTTCCAAATCATTCTTAATCTGCTCTCAAGATCCTAAATGACTACCCAACTAAACTGAAGCTGCTGTGTTATCTTTTGCAAGATTAACAGTCATCAACACAGAAGGTGATGAGAGCCACTTTGGGATTACTTTGCTTTTAAAATATTGATGTGCTTTTAATAAAAAATATTATTTTTATTTAAAGTAAAAATAGAAATAGAATTTAAAAGTTATACATTATGGTCTCGTTCACTTTGCGGATTCGAGTTTTCAATTTGAGCTGAGATGTGACATTTTCAGAGAGCTTTTCATTGTAGCAGATGAAATTAGATGTAACATTTTCTGAGAACTTTTTACTGTAAAAACCTAAAATTAAAAACTCGAATCGGTGAAATGAACGAGGCCATATAACTTCTCAAAATAACTTAAAAAATATATTAATTTATGTACAAAATAATTTTAAGAGTTTCAAAAACAATCCCAAACACACCTAAAATAAATAAATAAACATTTAAAATTTAATTTTAAAATAAATATTACTGTGCTTTTAATAAAATAAATAAGAAGGTGGTCCCAGCGGGGCTCGAACCCGCGACCTTCGGCTCATAAGACCAACGCTCTAACCAACTGAGCTACGGGACCGCGCTTTGGTGGTTAACTTCTCCTTTTTTATTTTATAGTTTTGTTTAAGACAAGAAATTTATTGGCTAGTCGGGACAGCGAGTATAAGAAGGGACAAGTAGGTAAATCCACACAAAAACGCCCCAAACACGAGCAAAGGGAATGTTTGCCCCGAGTATCAGCCATTAATTAATAATATCTATAGAATTTGAGTAAACAATATTAATTAATTTGGCAATACACATTACACAACCAATATGCACAAATTAACGAGCTATAATAAGATTGAGGCATGAGCTCGTAGACTCTTTTTTATTCTTTACTTAAGAGGATTAGTGCAAGACTTTAGGCCCGTTTAGTTCGCTGATTCAAGTTGAGATGTGATTTTATGTGAAAGTTTTTTACTGTAGTAAAAAAATTAAATGTGACTATTTTTTAGAGCTTTTTACTATAGTAAAACTCGAATCGGTGAAATAAACGGGGTCTTTCTTGTACCGGCAAAAAATATTCATATGGCCCCAAACACGAGCAAAGGGAATGTTTGCCCCGAGTATCAGCCATTAATTAATAATATCTATAGAATTTGAGTAAACAATATTAATTAATTTGGCAATACACATTACACAACCAATATGCACAAATTAACGAGCTATAATAAGATTGAGGCATGAGCTCGTAGACTCTTTTTTATTCCTTACTTAAGAGGATTAGTGCAAGACTTTGGGCCCGTTTAGTTCGCTGATTCAAGTTGAGATGTGATTTTATGTGAAAGCTTTTTACTGTAGTAAAAAAGTTAAATGTGACTGTTTTTTAGAGCTTTTTACTATAATAAAACTCGAATCGGTGAAATAAACGGGATCTTTCTTGTACTGGCAAAAAAGATTCATATGTCCATCTTAATTATCTTTTTATTTGATTTTACCCGATCAAAATATATTTTCTTCATTATATGCTATATTCACTTATTTTGACTAAGCTACACCTTCTAGCTGAAATGTGTATCGTAGTTAGTTAGTGCATCTACTTTTTTTTTTTTAAAAAAAATTCTTGTATTCATAAATGTATCTCACTCAAACAATTTTTTCCTCTAATTTTCACAAATGTGTAAAAAAAATATTATTCCTTTTGAAATGCTTTTCCTTTTGTCACATGTCATTTTTTACCTTTATGTTTTTTTTACTTCTTTCTAATATCTAATTTCTTTTTCCTTTTTTTATTAGCTGAAATGTGTATCGTAGTTAGTTAGTGCATCTACTTTTTTTTTTTTAAAAAAAATTCTTGTATTCATAAATGTATCTCACTCAAACAATTTTTTCCTCTAATTTTCACAAATGTGTAAAAAAAATATTATTCCTTTTGTCACATGTCATTTTTTACCTTTATGTTTTTTTTACTTCTTTCTAATATCTAATTTCTTTTTCCTTTTTTTTTTATAAATGCCACTCTACAGTTTAATATTTTCACAACATATTTTGATTTTTTTCTCCCTTTATTTTTATTAAAATAATATTTTTTACATTTGTCCTTAAAAAATTTATTTGATTTTTTCATTTTATTCCTACAGTCTTCTCAAGAACTTTTTTAATGTGTGCGCCACTTACTATATAGTTTGCTCTGCTTATTTTTCTTTGTTTTTTAAATGTGATATACTTAAATATTTTTTTATTAAACTAAACTTTTAAATCTAGAAAATATGAATTAAGATACTGTAACAAAATGAGTACATTACTACGCATAAACGTAGACAATGATGAAGCCATAAAATGTTTGCAGGGGTCTTGATATAACTAAAATTTTATTTTGAATTAACTGTATAATATAATATACTTATAATAAGTTACTATAAAAAAAAAAACTATACTTGAAAGCAAAAATTAAAAGTGCAAACGAAAAACTTTTAAATTCTTGCGTAACATCTAGATCAGAAAATAAATTTTTTAGGATAAAGTGATAAATTAAGATCAAAATTGGGGATATAAGTGAAAACTTTTATAACATTATGTATAAAAATTAAAAATAAAAAGTTTTAGGGGGCTAAATAAGAAAAAAAAAAGAGGTGAAATAACAATTTTACTGAACAAATTAAAAGAGCTAGCTTGGCTCAAGGGGGCTTAAGCGCCCTTAGGCCTAAGATCATCTCCAATGCAAATGCTAATGTCAATTGTATATTTATCATTAAAATGTGTGATATGGTATATTATTTTCATTTATGTTCCGATGCATAATGATATGTGAAATGCTAAATCTACTTTTTTCTATAATTATTAAGCTTTAAAAGTTGTAAAAGTAAACTTTTATGTTTAAAATAATTAAAAAATACAAAGTTATAATGATCATATGAAAAAGTAAATATTTCAACTAATAATAATCAAATGTCAAATTTCTCATATGTTATACTTCGTGAGAAATTTGCCTTAAAATATAACATTGAGAATTTAGTACAACAAATAGCACTGCATTGAAGAGTGTTTTTTACACTCAAATGTTAAATTTATAATTGACACATCAATTATATCATTGCATTAGAAATGCTCTAAGGTGGTTTCATCTCTACGCGTAGAGTGTGCTTCCAACTAGTCCATAACAAAGACCGTGTTTGGAATTAATCTCATTTTTATTTTTTACGTTTTTTGAAAAAGAAAAAATAAAAATGTTTTCAAAACGACGTTTTGCAGAATAAAGACAAAAAATGGAAATGAAAATGATTTTTTGGTTTAGTATAAAATGAGAGAGAAATGAAAAATGACTGTTAGTCATTTTTCATTTTTTGTTTTCGTTTTCTCCTCTCTCGAGCAGAGAGAGAAAGAGAGACATTAATGAGTTTTGTTACACTAAAAATAATCTCTTGATAAAATTATCAAACGTATTTTTAAAAATAATTTCTATCTGAGATTGCAATTATTTTCATTTTCATTTACATATAAAAAATAAAATTATTTTGAAATGAGTTTTAAATGCGTGTAAAAAATTCTAACTCGCTATTGGAGTTCTTACAATCCTTCACACGTGTTTTGGACGTGATACCCATCTAGCTAGTC